ACAATGCTTCAGTTTAGCAATGCCGGTGGGAAAAAAATAATTCCAGCAAAAGTTCCAGGGATGATTCTCATTAGCCCAGCTTTGTTCAAGTGCCTACCTCTTAATTAATCATAATGACTTTGTCTGAGACCTGAATCACATGCCCATCCCTAGAACAAAACGTGGACTGATAGTGGAGAAAGGTCCTTTCCCACAAAGGTAAGTCAAGTGTGATAACTGGAAATGGCATACTGCGGGTAAGACAAGTGCAGACAGAAGCTTCCCTTCAGGCTGTCTAACATGTGCTGGACTAACATACACATACTAATACACACTAAAGTGTGCTGGGCTGTATGTGCTGCGGAAGCCCACAGCAACAGAGGTGGCTGCTGGCTTAGTTGGAAGTGAGGCTTGAGCTGGGCAGGGTGTTGACACGTGTGAAGTGTGCGAGAACATTCTGAATGGAGAGGAAGATCATGGATGGAGACACAGAGGCAAAAAAGACACAGAGGCGTGACTATGGCATCCACCTTGGGGGGCAGCAGGATGAGAGGGCAGGAAGGAATGCTGGAAGCCTCAGTGTGCTGGATCAAGGAATCTGGACTTTAGTCAGTAGTTAATTGGAAGCTGCTATGACTATTATTAATATTCAAGAAAAATAGTTAACATTTTCTGAGCCTTTACCATACGCTAGACCATGTGTTAAACATTTTACATGCATAATGTTTTTTAATTCTCACAACAATCCTGTTGAGAGGTACCATTACTCATATATTATAGATGAGAAAATTGAGCTTCAAAGAGGAAAAAGTCATTTTTCCAAGGTCATACAGGTGGTAAATGGTGCAGCCAGGACTGTAACTTGATCTGTCTTACTTGAAAGCCCAAGCTTTTGGTTAAAGGAAAATTAATGATGGAGATAGTGGCAGGACGTTTTTGCCAGAAAAGCCATATGTAGAGAGGATGGAAGAGCCGCGTGGCTGTTGATGGAATTAGGCGTCAGCTCCTCAGGGCTTCTTAGGAGATGTCTGCTGGTCGTTCTCATTTCCTGAGAACATGCAATGGGCCAGTATCTATGCTAGACATTTTCATGTTCATTGTGTCATTTAATTTTCAGCTGTTAAAATGAATTGCTCAAAGGTCACACATCTAGTAGAAGGTGGAGCTGAAACTCAGTGCAAGTCTAGATTGATCTAGAATCTATTCTTAGCACTGGACTGGAATGCCAGAAGGGCATACGCAAATTACAAGTTAGAGCTGTAAGCTCTGTGTACTAAATGTTACCTATGGGCTGGGTGAGGTAAGCTGGTGGGGAGTGGGGGAGGAGTGATGAGGGTAGGGGTGAGGGTGCGGTGGTGGGGGTTGGG